TGTGGGTTCTCAATTTTTCGATTTGAATGTTTAAGCTTTATTTATTGGATTTTCTTTGGGATTAATTCCATTATTTATTTTTGTTTTATATTATATTAAGCTAAAAAAAAAAACTAAATATTATAAAATGATTATGATAGATTTCAAGAAGATAAAAATAATTAAGTAAATAATAAAAATTAATATTAGTTTGATAAATAATAAACAAATTAATCATAAAAATGAATAATTTGATTTTATTAAAGTAAATTTATAAATTTTGTTTGTAAGTATATTTAAAAAAAATAAAAAATATAATTATAAATTAGTAATTTTTTTAATAATAAATAATCAAAATCAGATAATTTAATTATTTTTTAAAATATATGAAATAATAAAAAAAATAATTCAAAAATATTAATTTCTTATATGCTTAATAAATTTATTTAATAAATAATATATATAAAATTTTATAAAAATAAAAATATATTATATTAAACTTTTTATTTAAAAACAATAAACAATAATAAAATAAATACTAATAATTATTATTAATTAATAAATATATATTAAAAATAAATATTAAATATTAAAATAATTTAATATAAAATTTTTATTTAAAATATCTATAACTTTAAAATATTTTAATTCTAATGGGTAAAAAATATTTAATTATATAATTAAAATTAAATTTATATTTATTAGAAAAAGAAAAAAATGGCTGAAAATTTTAAATACATTAAATACTCCATTCCTGATGCTGTAACACAATAATATTAAACTGTAAATCCCCCATACTATGTAGAACATAGGGATACTAATTTTAATACTATATTAAGTCCATATTATACACAATACGAAAAATAAAACTACAGGAATTTGTAGTAGAAAAGGTAAAAATATATATTTATAAAATATAATTAAAATAGATATAAATGAAACAAAAGATAAAATATAAGAATAAAATCTTAAATAATAGCATATTTGTAAAGAAAACTAATTATTAGAAGGAGAAATATAATATTGGAGAAAAAACTTATAATGGAAAATATTAAGTTTTTAATGGTGATAAAAAGAGTAATGATAAAAATAAAATAAAAATTGAAGTTTAGATAATAAAATTAAATAATAATAATAATAATAATAATAATAATAATAATTGTAAAATTAATTTGTTTAAGATTAACATGATCTAGATAATTTATAATCTTAATATTAATTTAATAATTATTTATAATAAAAATATAATTTATCCTAATAATTTTATTAATAAAATATTTATTAAAAATATTTACATTTATTTACAAATGATATAAATCAATATAATTCAAATATAGTCAAAAATAAATAATAACTTATTAAAAATTTAGATTAATATCAATAATAAGAATATTAATAAGACACATCAAATGAAAATTTATAGAATAGTAATAAAATTAATTAAATAATGAGTAATTAGTATATTCAGAAAATGCTGATGAATTTTTAAAATTACGTCAGAAGCTTTTTTAATAAATTTTGGAATGTAATGAATTAAAATCTGATTATAGTAAACTTAAACTTTAAAATTACGAAATAAATCATAGAAATTAAATCAGTTAAGAACTACACTTAAAATTAATTGAATTATAACAATAAATACAAAAATAGTTTGATTAATTTAAAATTTTAAAATAAGTAAGAAACAATTTGGATAAAAATAATAATAGTAAAAAAGTAAATTTTTAAATTGAAAAAAGAAATGCTAGTTAAGAACTTTCTATAATAAATGATTAAAGCTAATAGTTATAATATGAGAATGTAAACTAAATCGAAGAATAAATTAAGAAAGTAGGAAAGTTTTCTAATACAGTTGATTAAAATACTATATTATAAGGACAAATTACATCATAATAAGAATTTATTAATAAGGTAATTTTAATATTTATCATATTTTTAATATAAAAACAAACAGAATAATGATTAAGCCTAATAAATTTTATAATAATAATAAAATGAATAATCTTTGAACCTTTTGAGACATTAATAATAAAATCAATAAGTAGTTTTATAGCAATAAATTAAAAAATAAGAAGATATTATAAAGAATAAATTGTGTGAAATTAAATAATTTTAATAAAACTTAAACTAAATTAATCAAGATTGCTTGAAAGTCTAATAAGAAGAATAATAAGTTATATAATTAGTTTAAAATTTAAATTAAGAATTATTAATTGCTAAGTAAAAAAAAACCAAGAAATTAACGAAATTTAAAAATAATGTACTGAATAGTTGATTTAATAAAATTAGGATATTAAAAATTAAAAAGTATATATATATATATATATATATATATATATATATAAGTTTCTTTTTGTTAAATAATATATAATAAACAATAGGCAAATTTACATATTTTAGAAGAATAAAATTCTAATGAACTAATTTTAAAATAATAATAAATTAAACAACTTCAAGAATAATTGAATAAAACTAATTAAGAAATTAAAATTATTGATTAATAAAAGATTAAATATTAAGAATAAATAAATGATTTAAATAAAATAGACTAAATAAATGAAGAATAATTCTATGAATAAATTAAAAAAAAAGACGAATTACAAATTTCTTAAATAGATAAATGTACATAAAAATATGAATTAGAAAAACAAAAAATTAATAACTTAATAACGAATCTTTAAAAAAATATTTAATAAAAAGAATTATAAATTTTAAAAATGAATACTATAGCTAATGAATATTTAAATGAAGCAAATAGAATTTAATAAAACTTAAAATCTGAAGCTGTAAACTCTTTAATAAATATTTATAAAATTATATATCATTTATTTATTTTTTTTAAAAAAAAAAGATTGAAACCTAGTTTTGGTAATAATAGATTAAATAAATAAATTTTGAAAAAGAAATAGAATTTAATATGGAATAATAATTGACAAAATCTTAACTTCTTTAACTTTAAAGATAATAAATAGTTGAGAAGTCAATTAAAAATAAAGCATTGATAATTTGAAGTAAATAATTAATCTTAAAAATTCTTAAGCTAATAATGTTAGATTTAATAAAGTTAGGGTCCTAAATGATATTTTGTAATTAAAAAAATAAAAATCTAGAGTTGAATTTGAAAAAGAAATTATTAGATCTTGTAATTAAATTGAAGATATTTAATAAATTCCTTAAGATATAGATTACAATAATAATGATATTTTATTCTAAAGTTTATTAAAATAATAGGCAAATAAAAGTCAAAAACTTAAAAGCTATTGATAAATGACTTAATGAGAGCATTTTTAAAAATAAAATAAAATGTTTACATAAAATATAGTATAGATTATAATTAAATAGGGTTTTTTTATAAAAAAAATCTAGTCAAAATTTGATGCCCTTTAATTAGTAGAAAATTTAAATTTATTTTTATATAAAGTATATAAAAAATAAAATATTTAAACAAAAACATAATAATTTTATATTAAATAATTTTAAATAAATATTAATATAATTATATATTTTAATTATTAAAAAAATAAAATATATATAAATTTAAAGGGTAGGTTTGTATTTTTATACAAATAAAAATTTATATAAGATAAATAAATAAATATTAATATATTTTTATGTAAATATTTATAATTTATACTTAAAATCAAAAGTTTTTTAATTATATATTATGTTATATTTTTATTATATATATATCTATATTTCTTGATTTTTATATATTAATATACATATAATTAATATATTTTATTTTAGAAAATAATTTAATATTCTTATTTTTTGTTCTTCTTATATTTTTATTTTCAATTATTACACTAAATATAGATATATATTTTTTAATTTTATATCTAATATACACCAAATCATTTTAATTACTGGTTTTAAATATAAATTATTTACATGTCATGTGCGATAGTTAATCCATGCTATATTTTTATATTTAATTAAAATTTGATTAATTTTACGGTAAAATTTATGGCCTTGTTAATAAATCAAATGATTTTTTTAATGATTCACATCGGCCATTTGTTTTAATTTTAATTATATAAGAATTACTATTTTTTATCAATTTACATAACCTTTTAAATAATTAATTTGGATAAATTAATTACTATGTTAATGAATCCCAAAACATATTTTACTATAAATAATACATTTCATTTAAAAATACAGTATTTTGTCATCATTTCTTCTTAAATCCTTCATATTTTTATTTAGTTTTATTATTAAATTATATAATACAAGAATAATAATTTTATAAGAAAATATAAATCTACTAGTGTCAAAAATTTATATTCTTTATACTAATCACATTTGATACAGAAGAGTATAAAAATTAATTAATTTTATTAGTTATTTCATAAACCCTTTGGTTATTAAATTCTTTAATAATTTTTGTTGCTAAGCCTATTGGTTAAAGGATTTCCACTATGCTGTATACTAGAAAATATTCCACATTAATTGTATTTTTTAATAGTATGAAAATCGCATTATATAATAATTAGTTTTGTTTTTAGGAAATTTATATAATTAATTTTTTAAGTAAAATTAATTGATAAAAAATTTTTAAAAACTTTTCCTTTCTTAATTTTCTAATAATTAAAAATATAAATATATAAAAATATAAATTAAAAAAGATTTAAATTAAAAGATTTGTATAAATATTTATAAATCAAATGAAATTATAAAATTTAATAAGAATAAAAATATATTAATATACATTATAATATTTAAATCAAAAAAATATGAATATAGAAAATATATTCCATTAACTATTTTTAAAAATTAAAAAAATAAAATTTACCATAACCAATCTATTATTATAGAGAATTTAATGTATATATATAAAATAAATTATTATAATTTTTTATTTAATTTTATTTTATATTTATGTTATATTATCAAATAGATAATAGTGATTTTTATTATTATGATTTTGTTTTATTTTTTAAATATCATTTTTTTTAGTTTTTATTTTATTTTTTTATAAATATAAAATGAGTATCCTTATAAAATAAAACTAAATTTTATTTATTCGATTTTTATTTTATTTAAAAAAAAAATAATATAAAATATAACTTTATTCAATCGAAATAACATCCAAAACAAATTCCTGTACAATATATTTTTTCCTTTTTATTTTTTTTTTTTGAAAAGTAAAAAACATATATCTAAATACATATATTTTTTATTAAAAACACTATTTTTTATTTTATTTTTTTATATATATATATAGATTTACATTTGTAAATGTATAGCTTGTATAATTATCATTTTAAACATCCCATAAACATTTTGATGCTATTCTTAAACCTTATCCTTTAATTTCTCCCAAAATTATTTATATTCCTAATTTATAACGAGGCATTCTAAGTTCTATTTATAATTTAATTTTTTATGTTATTAAATTAAATTACCTCTTTTTATTCTTTCTCTTAATTCAGCAACTAATTTTTCAGTTAATGGCATTGCATTTTCAGTATCATAAACTTCTTTTGATAGTCTTTCTTAAAATAATTATTAAATAATTCTTTTAATTTTTGATGGATAAAATCTTTTTTAGTTTTTTAATTTAATATTTTTTTAGAATTTAATTTGAATAAAAACCTTTCGTCTTCCTTTGGTTCCATTATCATTAATTTAGCTTCATTTTCATCAGCAGCGTTTGTCATTTTTAATTTATAATTTAATTGTTTTTTTTATTAATAAAAATTATTTATTTTTAAATATTTTGTTTATTAATTTTTGAAACTATTTTTGATAATTTATATATATTTTAAATTTTAGTAATTTAATGCATATATATTTTAATTACTTTATTAATTATTTTATTATGTTTTAAGAAGTTTACATGAAGTAATTAAAAAAAAACTGTATTTGATTAAGGAACTTATATATATATATATATATATATATATATATATATTATTTTATGACTTAAAGAAGATAATTAATGATAATTTATATTGATATTTAAGGTAAATTCTAATAAAAAGTATACTTTATAAATTTAAAAAAAAACCTTATAGATATTAATATATTTTAAGTAAATATTTAATATTCAAATATTATTTATAAACAATTAATATTTTTTCTATTAAATAAATTTATAAAAGTTGTGTAAAAATAAATATATAATATAATTTAAAAAAATATAGACATTAATTAAAAGATAATAATTAACAAAAAAAAATTATTTTGATGACTAAAAAAAGTTAGACATTTAATAAATATATAAACAATAATAAATCAGTTAAAATTAAAAATGTTAATTATTAATTTTATGATTATTTAATTAATTTTAAATAACATAAAAGAATAAAAATTAAGTTTAAATTGTTAATAAAAAAAAAAAAATATATTAAAAAGTTAAAAGAAAATAAAAATAAGTTAGCATATCTAAAGTTATTAATAAAATTTAAAAATAAATTTTAAATTAAAAGATAAAAAATAAAAAAATTAAATAAAATAAAAAAAGTATTTTAATAATAAATATCTAATTTTAAAGAAAAAAATAAATAATAAAATATAGAAAAAAACTATAAAAAATTTATTAATTAAAAAAAAAATATATATATATAAAAATAATATATATTTATTTTTAAACTTTTATATATATATATATATAAACATATTAATAAAATTAATATATTAATCTTTTAATTTTTATATTTTGATTCTTAAAATTATATTTTTTTTTAAAAAAAAAAATCTTCAAATAAATTTATATTAATTGTTTTATTTCGAGAAATTTTTTTTATTTGTAACGCTGTTTTTCCATAATTCATATATATATAATATAAATTTCTTATCTCTAAGCATGTTCTTGGAATTTTTTTTATTTATTTGTTGAGTGTTAGAATTATCAGCGGTAAATTCTTAATTGCTCTTTCTCGAACCCTGCTTTTTTAATATAAGAGGACTTTATTTATTTTTATATATAAAATACTAAACCACTAAATTTTTATTTTTGTCCATTTTTATTTAAAATAAATAAATAGACATTGGAACTTTATTAGATTTAATTTATCAAATAACAATTACTAATAAATTATTAAAAATTAAAAATATATTATATTTATAATTTATAAAAAATTATTATCACATTATTCTCTGAAATATTAAATTAAAATTATATGATAAAGAATTATCATGCTGAGTTGTTTAATGTTATTATTTTGTGGACATCTTCTTATTAATGGTTCTAACGAAATGTATTTTTTTTAAAGTATTTATTAGATATTTTAAAAGAAAAGATAATATTAATCAAGATAGAAAAGTAAGTAACAATTGTATATTTATTATTTTTATTTATATAATTTAATATAGTTTGTAATATCGATAGTTAGAAAAATGAATTAAAGGGAAATTTAATTCTTTAATCGATATTTTATATATAAATGTATTTTTTTAGATTATTTTTACATTTAATTATTATAATTTATTTTAAAATGATATTATTTTATTTATATTTATATTTGTTTTGTTTTTTTACTTTTATTAAATTAAATATAATTTTAAACTTTAATTTTGTTAAATAATGTCAAAGTATTGATTATAAAATTGAAATTTTAAAAATTTATTAAAGTAAACTTTATTAATAATATTAATAAAGTATTATTATTTATAAATATATATTAATATCAATTTTATTTAATTTTTTTTTTTTTTTTTAAATGAATGTTTAAAAAATAGTAAAATACTTAAAATTATTTTTAATAAGTTCACTTTTATAGAAATTTCTTCTTTTATCAAATATATTGATGTATCCAATATCTTCCTTATATTATGAGTTACTCTAACCTGCCTCTATATAATTGTATGATATAGAGTTATTATATAATTTTGATAAATATTTGAAATTAAATTAAAATGAATAATTATACGATTTTATTGAAAACGATTTATTACCTTCAATATATACAGATTTACCAATTCCATTTAAATTTAGTGTTTAATGGTTTTTAAGTATTTTAAAGTACAAAGGAAAAAAAAATAAGCCCTGTGCAAAATTAGACTAAAAAGATCCTGAATTTTGCTCAGAATAGGATTTTTTAGAATTTTATTATGAAAAATTGAAAATACAAGAGGAGTTGTATTGCAAAATTTAGGGTTATTTAAAATATTATACTATATGTAATTTTGTTTTGAATTTAAAAGAATAAAATTATAAAGAAAAAATATAAAATTTAAAAGGATAAAAATGGATTGATTAAAATACAGAGGCTATTATGATTTAATTTAGTGTTTATAATGACTTCCAAAAAGTATATATTTATTTATAATTTCTTTCTGAGTTTGATTTAGAAGGAAATATAATATGGAATTCAGTAAAATATTAATTTATTTAACCTGAAAATTATATTGGAGAAACTGTATTGTTGACATTTTTAGTTATTATGACTTTATTTTATACTTTAAAGCTAATTCTAGAATTTAGTTTACAAATTGATAAATGGATCTTCATTGGACATATGATTAATATAGTAGTTATTTGGATCCATACAGGTATTTCATTTACTATTTTCTTTTTTTTGTTTGCAATCAAAGATGTTAATGATTTAATTAGAGCTTCTAATTTTTAGTTAATAAAAAATTTTTGTCTTTTTATTATTTATATAATAATTCCTTTCAGAATTTTTACTTTTATAACTTCTTATAAATATTTTAAATGGATCAGAAGTTATTCAAATGTTATTTTTAAAACTTTTCCTGTAATTTTTATTGCTTTTGTAATTATTTTAGTATTTTATATATGCTCAATATTTGGTTCTTAATATAAAATATATATGAATTCATGTATTATTTAGAGAAATATTAAATTTTCGTTTTTAAATACATTAATTTTTAATTATTAAGATTTCGAAAAACAATTTTAAGGATAATATTAATAATTTAATTTTTATATATTGTTTCCTTTTATTTCAAAAGTAATATTAACAATTATATATATTTATTTTTTGGCTATTTTTATTGATGCCTTTAGAAAAAGCTCATGCTTAGTATATAAATATAAATCTAAATATAATTAAGAAATTGAGGAAATATTAAATGATTTAGATGTTAAAGTAATAAATAAAAATATAATTTTTTATATAAAAATAAAATACAATTAGGTAAATAAATCAACAGATATAATTTATTAATTAATTTAAAAAGAATAATGTAAAACGTAAAATGTGAGTTAGAAAATAATTTTATATTTTAAATTAAAATCTAAAAATGAATAATTTGAAAAGTCAAATTAAGAATTATTAAAAGAAGATTAGTAAAATTATGAGAGTGATATTATTTAATAATTATCAATAATTTGTGATTAAAATCTAATTACATTGAGAATTTTTAATGATTTAAATTAAATGGCTTTGTTTATTTTTTGTTTAACAAATATTAAAAGTCAATATTTTTCAATTAATAGTGGTAATATGTTTAGGATTGTATTTTATTTAGAAAATAAAGAATATTTTAATGAAAGCAATGTTGATTAATTAAATAACTTTTTAAATTTGTTGAATGAAAAAGGTTGTAAATACCCAATTTTATACTTTTCTCGTTAAATAGAGTTTACTTAAAAAATATAAATATCTCTTAAGACTATATATAGATTATCTTTATGTACTGATTTTGAAGATATTCTTCATGATTTTTGTAGTATGAAAAGCTAATTTAGTTAATTAGAATGTTAAATTCTATATTATGAAAACGAAAAGAAAAATAAACAATAAAAATTAATTAATTAGATGTAATTAAGCTTTAATAAGAAGAACTCGTAATAATTATTTACATAAAATAATTAGTAATAATTAATTTAAAATTTATAATAAATTAATAATAATTAAAATAATATTAAATCAAATAATAAAACTAATCTAAGCTAATAATAATAAAATATAGAAAAAACAGGATTTTTAAGTTAACAAGATATTTCATATAATTCCTAAAATTCTAATTTGAATTAATAAAATACTTCTGAAATTAGAGAATAATAATCTTAATCTATTGAATATCATTCAAACAACAATTCATATGTTAATTGATATTATATTTGTTTTTTATTTAATTTTCTTATTTTAAGTGATAGTTAAATAATAATATTTATTTATTTAAAGTTATTACTAAATAATTTCTTTGTAAAATTAATATTAATTCATTTTTTAAAAAAATTATAAAAAAACTTTTTTAATTTTTGATTTTTCTTTAAAAATTTTATAAAATAATAAATAGAAAAATTAAATATCTAATTTTTTTACTTAGTTTATTTTATTTTAATTTACAAAATAAAAAATAAAAGAAGATATTTTTAATAATTTTTAAAAATTTGAAATTAAAAAGCGAAATGTAAATGTTTATATTATTAATGAAAAAATAAAAAATGATATAGTAATTAAATCATTTATCGAATTTTTGTCAATTTCTTATTTATTTTTAAAATTATGACTATTAATCTTTGCTTTCAACTGAAAACTTTATTTACAATAATTAAAAATAAGATTAAAAAAAATTACTTAATTCAATAAATTTTAATTAGAGTCAATACCTTGAATTATTCCTTATAATTAAGCAGCATTTAACATATTATTTTTTTCGTATTATTATCATTATTTTTTAAAAAGTTAAGTAAAGCTTCAGAAGCACCTATAAAATCACCATTTCTATTTAAAAATTCAGCATTTTTGATTGTTTGATTATTAGGAAACATTTAATCAAGCTACATGATTTAATAATGTAAATTAATAACATATTAATTTAATAATTATGCTTAGAAAAATTGTAATTAATTTATTTATTGCTATTAATATTAATAAACATTCATATTATGTATTTGATTTTTTGATTGTTAATATTGAAAATTTTAATTGTTAATAGCCTTTATGTTAATGAAATAAATTAAATTATATATTTACTATTGTTCTTAATTCTTCTTTAGAATGAGCAAAATCACATCTACTTTCATATTTACAATTACATTCTCCTTTATTTTTTATTGACGTTAAATATTTTTTGTTTTATTAAATTTAAAACCTGTTTATTCATTATATGATCTACACATAACAGATTTATATTTTATTTATGTAAGCTAAGATTATTACTTATAATTTTAATTATTATTAGTAACTATTATATTTTTCTTTTTTTTAAATAAATCATAATATATTTTTATAATACTTTTTTATATTTACTTAATTCTCAATTTAAAGTTCATGATCACCCTTTTTTAAAATTTATAAATATATTATTATTTATTTATTTTACATGAGCAAAGCAACATTAACTTTTTTTGGGACACACTCTATCTATTAAAAGTTTAAATTTTAATAAAGATAATTTATTATTAAAAAATATATATATTGTATAAAATATATATATTTAAATTCTTATATATTTATAGATAAATAAAATATGTATATAATTAACTTGAAGAAAAGTGTTTGCATAATTAAGTTTTGTATTTCCCATTTTAAATCAACTATTAAACATTTATCATTTTATTAGTGTTTTTTAATGTTTTTTTTTTTTATCGGAAATAATAATTTTTTAAAATTTATGAAAATTTTTATATATAAAATTTATATTTTTTCTTATTACTATTTTGTTTAAATGTTATTATAAAAATTATAAATTTTCATAATATAAAAATTAAAAATATATATTTTATTTTTAAAAAATTAATGAATATTATTATATTCATAATTTATTGTTCTCATTAATAATATTAATATGAATTAACAGGATTTTCTTTATTATAAACTAAATATAATTTAATTCTTAATCGATTAAAACTGGTTAAAATACTGTATTTTTATTTATATTTTGCAGACAAATATATTTAATTTTATTTTCTAGAATTTCACTTGTGCCAAACTTTTTAACTAAAGTTTATAAAATTTAAATAGAATTATATTAATATATTTAATTTTAACTGAATATTTTAATTTATTATGATTTATTTATAAAATAAAAAAAAAAAATTAAATTTTAATAATTAAATAAAAGTTATATAAATCTAATCACATATTAGTTTATTTTTTTAATAATATATTATCAAAAAGAGCAATAATTATTAATATAAAAACAAAGTAATAATAAATACCCATAATATAAAATGAAAAACAACTTTAATATATTTTTCAAAGACTTTATAAATAAAAATAATAAATATTTATATAATTATAATCCAAATAATTTATTAAAAATAATAAAATATTTATTTATAAAATTAAAAAAAGAAAAAATTATACTTAGGCAAATATATAATATAGATAGATTAAATTTCAAAAAGTATATAAATAAATAAAAATATATATATATATATAAATATATAAATATATATATATTTATATATTTATATATTTTTACTATTATATTTTAAAAATTATAAATATTTTATTTATGATTTTAAAATATTAATACTTAATATCCTAATAATATCTAAAATAAAATTATATTAGATTATTTTATTTAACAATCAAAATTTAATATTAAATATTTTTATTATTTAGAATAAATATAAATTCATTATTTTTATTTTTTAAAATTTTTTAAATAATTTTTTATTTAAAATCTATTTTTTTTTATATATATTTATAGTTATATTTTTAAATATATTTAATTTTTGATATCTTTATTTTATTGTTTTTAATATTTTGTTTTAAAAAAAAAATATTAATTTATTAATAATAAATATGAGTTATAAAGACAAAAGAAATGTAGAAAAGATTATATATTATTAATCTACATAGCCTTTAAATGATGGATAAAATGGAGATCTTTAATAAATTCTTTCATTTATAATGGGTTTTGCAGGTATGATGATGAAAGTAATTTAAATATACAAATTTAAAAACAATGTAACTATAATAAATAGTAAAAAATATTTCTTTGGGGATCATTATTCATGCTATTATCATCTTTTGCAAATCTTAAATCTTCTACTGATGCTAAGCAAATGATTATTAATACAGGGTATATAAATTTTATATATTATTGAAATATATATTTAAAAAAGTGTCATTATTATGGGAATGCTTTCCCTTTATGTTTGGTAACCTAGAATGATTGAATAATAATTATAATAATAATAAATGTAAAAATAAAGTGAGAATGAATAATGAAAATAAATAAAATAAAACATAAATATATTTAAAGCGTATTTAATAAAAAAAAATTAGCATAATGGAAAAAATATTTATATTAAAAAAATAAAATATATTTATTATTGATTATATTTTTTTTAATTATTCATAATAAATAAATAGTCTAAATATTTATGATTTATTTATGTTTGATTTTGATTTTTTTTTTAAAAAAAGTTGAAAATTTAATGGATACTTTGTTTTTTATCTTTTATTTAAAATATAAAATAATATAAGACTAAAATTATTATAAAAAGAAAATAAATTTATAATTTAAATAAATAAAAAATAATGAAATCAAAATAAAAATAAAAAAAAAGGAGCAATAACGTGTTTTGGAATACAATTTAAGAAGTCAGAAAATTAACAAATAGTTAAAATTAAAATCAAAAAGAGAAAAAGCATTTTGCGGTTTCTGAAAAAGGATAAAAAGTAAATTTAAAAATATTCGTATATTTTCAAATAAAAATTTAAAATAGTAAAAAGGATAAAAAATGCCTTTAAATATGCTTGCTGGAATAAGAAAAAAAGTAATTGAAACATACGTGGAGCAAAAATAAAGGGCAATTACGGAAAATATTTAATATGATTCTTTATAAAGATTTACTGATAGTAAGTTTTTAGAAAAGATAATATAAAAAAAGAATAAAAAAAGCGATTTTTAAAAAAGCTAATATAAATATAAAGATATGAAAAGTAAATCTGTAGGTAAATTTAAAAATGGTGTTTTAAATTTGAATAAAAAAGATATATAAAAGATAGAAGGTATTAATAAAAGAATTTAAAAAAAATGAAATTAAAAAAATTATTTAAATTTATTATTTATATTTATATTTAATAAATTATATAATATTTTAATTATTATTATTATGGTATTAATATAATATTTAATATTATTATTTTTAAATACATATATAAAGAAATTTAAAAATATCAATAAATCATTTCGTAATAAAAATACAGAATACTATGTATTTATATTTATAATAAAAAATGGCTAGAAATTTAATAAAATAATTGTTTATTGTCTTTCAATTAATAAGTTAATATTATTAAATTTATTTTAGCTAATTTATTCTAATTATATTAATATTTTTTTAAAAAAAATTATGTATAAATATAAATACAAATTGAATAAATTTACACCATATATTTCATTATTGTGACTATTATTTTTTAGTGTTAAAAAATCCTATTCTTTTTTATTACTATTAGCTGATATTTTCGTATTTATTATTTTCATTTTAATTAGATTTTTAAATTTCTTATTACTGTTATTATTAAGGATATTATTTTTAGACATCTTATTATTAATTCTATTATTGATTTTATTATTAAATATTGCCTTATTAATTGTTTTTATTTGTTTATTTTGGTAATTAATTAACATATGTATTATTATTAGTTATCACAGGTTGACTCCTAAAGTTAAATAAAGTTTCTGTTTTAAGTTATTATTATTGTTATTGATTTTAATAATTATTATATTATTATTATCTTTGATAATTTTGTTAATAATTCATTTAACTATTTCCTTAATAGTTATTATTATTTTCATTTTAATTGTTGCTGTTAGAATAATTATTATTGTTATTATTAACATTTGTAAAAACTTTTTTTGCTCCGTTAAATCCATAGTAATTTAAATACTGATTTGGTTTATCTAGAGAAATAAAAAAAATATATAAATTAGGATATAAAAATAAATAAATACTCGAATCACTCATCTCTAATAATTCTTAACTAATAAATTAATTATTTTATTTCAAAACATCGACTAACTCTTTTGAAATTCTTTTGTCATCAATTGGGTCTAAGAAAGAAATAGCTTTACCCTAAGCTCCAGCTCTTCCAGTTCTTCCAACTCTATGTACGTAGTCTTCAATATTTTTAGGGAAATCGTAATTAATGACTATTTTAATATCTTTAACATCTAAACCTCTAGAAGCCACATCAGTAGCAATAAGTGTATTAATTCTACCCAATTTAAAAAGTTCCATCACTTTATCTCTTTCTCTTTAAGACTTATCCCCGTGAATGACTAAGCATTTATAATTGCTGCTTTAGAGTTTGTTTTATAAATCATCACAAGAGTTTCTTGTTTAGCAAAAAATTATAACTTTATCATTTTTATTCTAAGCTTATTAAGAGAAAATAATCTCACAGAGCTTTTAGAACTTCATAGTTTATTAACAATTTCAATTTATTATTCAATATCATCATTGACATTATTTTCCATATCTCCTATTTAAATATGGATAGGATTCATTTAGCAAAAATCCAAAGCCATGTTTCTCACTTATTTCGGCCAAGTAGCCGAAAACATTAATGTTTGCCTATCTGGTCTTATTTATCCTACTATTTTCCTTATTTGTGGTTCAAAACCCATATCGAGCATTCTATCTGCCTCATCTAATACTAATTATGTTACTCTTCTTAAATCTGTTGTTCCACTTTCTAAAAAGTCTATCAGTCTTCCTGGAGTTGCTACTACTATATCGCACCCTCCTTGTAAATCTCTTTCTTGATATTATTTTGGAATACCTCCATATATACAAACACTTGATATTTTACTTTTAGAACCAAATTTTGTAAATTATTCTTGTATTTACATTGCTAGTTCTCGAGTTGGAGCTAAGACTAATACTATTGGTCCTTCTCCACATCGAACTGGCTCTTAAGCGCTTATATGTACTAAAGCGGGTAAAAGAAATGCCAAAGTTTTTCCTGACCCTGTTTAGGCTATTCCTATTAAATCATTTCCGCTTAATATTATTGGAAAACCTTTTATTTTTTATTATAATATAAATATTTTTTTTACTTTGAGATTAGATTGGCATCGGATCTGCGAAACCACTATTTTAAATCATAGACATTATTTAAGGTGGAAATTAAGTTTCACTCCATTTTATAAATGGTTAAGGTATATGAACATGCTTAGATCTTATTATTACATTCTTTTCTTTTTAAAAAGTTTTAATTTACTCGTCTGTATAAATAGGCTAGCCTTCTATATAAAATTTTTTTTGAAATGGCTTTAGTTCAACTTAAGAATAATCTATATCTTTTAAATTTTCCCCTAATGTAGAAATATCATAATTATTGTATAGTACTTTTTCTAGATAATTAAAGTTATCTTGCTAGTTGCACTAATTTTATTTGGATCTTTAAGAATTCTACTAACCTATATTATCCTCTTATTGAGTTCTTTATTTTAATTTTTTATATTGATTAAATTATATTATTTATTATATTTTATTTAAATAAGATTAAGTTATTTTTTACCTCTATGATTTTTCGTAAAATTATGGTCTGTTGTTATCTCTATTTTAATGATAAGTGTTTTAGTTCATTTGATATGTATTAGAGTATTAGATTTTTTTTTTTTTATTTTATTTTATTTTATGTTTTTTTTTTTTTTTTTTTAAGGTTTTTATATTTTAAAATATTATTTAATTTTTGGTTTTTTAAAAATTATTCTTGAAGTAATTTTTGTTTTTTGCAAATTTAATTTAAAATTAACAAAAATATAAAAAAAATTAAGAGAAGAAAATTAAAAATTTATTAATGTAATATTTTCACCTTTTCATAAATATAAAAGAAAATAAAAAAGTATACTTTTATTTCATTATATTTATTAATTAAATAATAGATATTAATATAATTATATAAAAAAGGATCTATCTTTATATATTTAATCTATAATAATTTTACCTTTAACTATTTTTAATTTAAATATTATATTATTAATACTAATTTACTTAGAAATAATTTGGGAGATAAGAAATGTATTTAAAAATAATGATTTTTTTAATTTATATTAAACAATAAATCATTTATCTTAATTTATTAAAATAAAAAATAAAAGCTTATTATAAAATTTTACTTTTTTTTGTAAAAAAATATCTATTTTAAAAAACTAAATAAAATAAATTAAACTGAAAAAATATGAAGCAATAAATTATAAATTTAATTTAAACATATCCATCATAAACAATATAATAAATTCAAATATAAATTTAATAAAATAAATATTTAATAAACTAAATTTATTTATTATTAATATCAAAATATATTATTAATAAAGAAAAGAACATTAATATTAATACTATTAACAAAATAAACACATAATTATTATAATCCTTAAAAAATATTTTTTTCAGCTCTAATTAAATAAAGAAAAGATTATTAAAGTGATCATACTGTTTTTTTATTTAAATATGTAAACAGGTAAGCAAAAAAGGTGCATAGAATCAATTAAAATATAAATAATAAAAAAAAAATACAAAAAACGAATAAGCAATTGTATTCACTAAAATAAATAACTCAAATAATAATTTCCATAAAAAAATATATATCATAATAAAATATAATAATATAATAAATTTAATAATATTTAATAAAGATAAGATAGCTTAAAGATGTTTTACTCCTTTTTAATAATATTATGATTTATTAACATATAGCTCTATATTAATATATCAATATATCATTTAAAAATAAACTTTTATAAGCAAAAGTGGAAAACATAAGTTAAATAAATAATAATAAGTAGAAAATTAAGCCAATTTATAAAATTTATAAGAACGAAAGAAGTAACAGAAAGAAAAGTGAAATAAAAATAATATTTTAAAAGAGAACTTTTGAATATTAATCATAACATAATTTTTCTCGATAGGAAAATGATGTTAATGCGATTTCAGAAAATAATAAAGGTATTATTTTTAAAGAATTTTTTTATAAAATTAATCTATTAAATATCAATAATAATAGCTATAAAAAATAGTAGAATATTAATATATTTTACAAAAAGAAATTAAAAAATTTTATTAATAAAAATATATATAATAAAATTTAGAAATACAAATAAATAAAATTAAAAAAATAAATAAATATTTTTTAAAAATGAAAAATACAAGTTCAAATATTCTATTTATAATAAAATAATTTTATTTAATAAATTATAAGAGTAAACTTAAAATGTGTGAAAATATATACAAAAACTATTTTTTTTTATAATTATGTGATTAAAAATAAAACTAATTATTAATAAAATATTAAAAAAATTAAAATATATTTATAAATATATATTAACTTAATAAAAAAATTCTATTGTAATATAAAATATATAGAAAATAATAAAATACTATTATTTAATAACTAGGCTTGTTTTAAAATCGGATAAATAGAAGATTTACTTGGAAAAAGTCATTTTTTTATATAAGATGCTGAAAATAGAAAATATGTAATTATAAAATAATAAATTATAAAAAAACTATAATATATATTATTATTTATTATGTTTTAGTTTAAAATTTTGATTAATAAATATTTAATTTTTTTTTAATTATTTAAGATTTTTAAAATAAAAT